TTCTTGGCAGTAAGTACTTTGCACAGGAGTTCAAACGGGGCTTAGGTTAGAGCTTGAGGCACTAATTGGAAGTCCTATGATGGATACCGGTGAATGGTTAATGGTCTTATCAGGAAGTCCCTCTTAGGAATTTCTTGCTATCAGGATTTTGGTTCTCAAGTCCTATCACTGAAAAGAAGGCTGTCTGTGGAGACTGCTTGAAATAATCCCTTGTCAAGGCCCACCTGTCTGAAGGCCAGGACTTTGGTAATAAAGGCTGATGTTGGTGGGTTGTAACTGATGAGAGAAATGCATGTAACTCCCTGGTTAGGGTCTCCATGAGGGAACTCCACAGCTTCATTGGGTTTGCAACACATCTGTGGGATCTTTAGACTGTTAGATTCTGAGGGTGAGATGCATCCACTGGAAAGGACAAAAGTGCTTTGTTGCCCATGGTACTAAGTCTATGCAGGTGATCATCTAGCTCTCTACTGCCAAAAAAACATGAGATCCAGATGGCCTGGTCTGAAGAACTGATACAGCTAGATAGTGGATGATCTCTTTTTTCTCTTTTGCAGGGAGATTAAGCCTTTTTCAGCTTGTTGTCCAGAATAGTGACTAGATGGTGTAGTTCAGATGCTGACTGAAGCACGCTCTAGTCTGTTGATCAAAAAGTTCAGCTCCTTGAGTGTTTGCATGAGGATCTGGACATTGTTTGACTAATCAATGATAATTTGATCAGCAGATTATGGAGGTAAGAATATATGTGTATTTCCAGGGATCTGGCCTATAACAGTCACCATCATCTTTGTGAATAGTCTGAAACAAGCTGAATGGAAAGGCCTTGAAAAGATAATGGGTGTCCTAATATTTGAATCTCAGGAACATGCTGTGGGATGGGTTGATTCTGTAGTGTAGGTAAGTCCAGAGCATCTTTTTCTGGAAACACTCTGCAATTTATCTCAGGGTTTCCATCTGGAACTTGTGGTATTTTATGTGGCAGTTCACTTACTTTAGGCCCAGAATCTTGTGCTATTCTATGTTTCTCTTGCAGATAAATAAACCTTTAAAGTTAGATGGCATTTGGTCCCTTTGCTGACCTGGAAGATGGGGTGAGGTAATTTGAGGGCTGGTGAATTCTATGGTGTAGCCCTCTTTAAGATCCATGCATTTCATGTGATATGAGTCTACTGATGAGTGAATTCCATTAGTCTCCCACACATATGGAGGCTTACATGATTGTCTGTACCTCCTATTTTGTAATGGGAAAAGGTGTCCCCCCAGCATTGGGGTTAAGACTGTTGTAACTTGTTTGGGAAACTGTCCACCAGGATGATCTGTATTCCTTGTGGCTCAATTATTTTTCTTGGGCACTGTAAGGTTGAAATAAATGTTTGGTGTAGACTGGTTCCTGCTGTTTTTGGCTTCATACTTTTTGTTGGTTAGGAGCACAGCCTTCTTTTAATTGTCTGAATTAGGACATTATCTTGGGCCTGTCTGAATAGTTTGCCACCCTTGAATGGGTCTGATATGAAGACTGATTTTAATTTAGAGTGTTTTCCAGTTCATCAGCTACAGCTGTCTTAAACTGTTATGTTAGCTATAGTGCCTTTGGCTGAGAACCGAACACTGTTCCTGCTAGCATCTGCCATGAAGGCAGAGACTTGGCTAGCTTGTTCATGCCCTATCTTCTGGAGAGATGAGTTGGGATAGCTGTTTGCCCCATAAGATTGATGCCTTAGTGAAGATGAACATGGCAAGGAAAGCCCTTATTGGTACAGCTGAAACCTTGTGTGCACTTCACTGCAGAATCCCCAATCCCCTGTCTCCAGGGATTGCCTGGGAGTGTCTTCCCTGTCTTTATTCACTATGGCTCCCAGGACCAGAGTTGCCATATGAGTATCCACTAAGAAGTCTTAAGCAGGTCTAGGGCTACCTATGAGAAGGTGTTGAGCTTGGAGATTGAAGAATTTCCATTCCTACACTGCCCTGAGAAGCTTCCATTCCGTTTTGAGGATTTTGTTAAAGGTGTCAGGGAATGGAAGGCATAAGGCATAAGATAAGACTTAATAGCTACTGGGATACCACTGTTACCAACAGGCCCAACAGGGCATTTGTAGGGCTCAGGCATTCCTTCAGTCCTAGAGTTTTGCAGACTTTCCTAAGCAACTGGGGGAATTCTGCTTTATGGAAAAGCTTAATGGATTTGGGAATTGGTTTCTGGTCTTTTTCCTCATCCAGGGACAAATCCCCATCCTTCCTATCTGACTGGTCTTAAAAGGAAGTATCTGAGCCATATGTAACGTGTACTCTGCACCTTAGGAGTATGTGTTCCTTGTTTGCTTAGTGGCTTGATTCTTCCCCCTGTGATGGTGGCCTGAATCTGAACCCCAGTTGCAAGTATCAAGTAGCTGCTAATCTGACAATCATAGTCTCCTGAGAAGAGAATGGTAATGAGACAAGAGGACACATAAATGTACCATCTGAGGCTAGCCAGTTGGCTCAGTCCCAGCCACAAGAGAGGTCCATGACCCTGCTGGGCTTATTGTCCTTAGTCTAGGTCTGTGTAGAAGATCCAAAAGAAAAAAAGGGAGATCCACCTAGATTGAGGGAGTCCTTGGCAGAGTAAATGGGCTTTCACACTTTGGAGCAGGACAAGGTCAGAACTGGGGACTGGGCTATTTTTTCTTGTTCGGAGCAATGTTATATCTAATCTAAGTCCTGCCTCTGGAGCAAGTGAGGAGAAACTCACTACAGGATGCCCTGCCTCTACTGAAAGACTACTAAAAGAAATTCCATGTTGAAATCTAAAAATGGATAAGATAGAACTGATGAAGTATAAGATCACATCACCTTGGATAGATTTATGTGGATTGATGCCTGGCTTCAGAGCCATGAACAAAGGCTAATGATGCATAGCAAATAAGCCGAGCTTTGGGGAGATTTCAAAGAGGGACCAAGTGATCCATTTTCATTTTTGTCTGCTTTAATGTCTAAATTACTCATCACATTAACAACATTTACAAAATGCACCAAAGCATGAGGAGCTGTGAATACAATAGAGGCAAACTAGCCATATAAGGAAAATCAGAGCTGCTCAGAAACAAGAAATTTGTTAGATCAGGTTGGAAAAAGGCAGTAAAAGCAGACTGCCAGATGGATACTTAGTCTTTTAGAACTTCATAGGTTCCACCCAGCTGAGAAAACCAACCACCATCCTTGTACACTCCTTTCTAGGCTGAATGCATTCCACTTGCATAGCTCTGAGCAGTACAGTACTGTGCAAAAGTTTTAGGCAGGTGTGAAAAAATGCTGTAAAGTAAGAATACTTTCAAAAATATATATTGTAATTGTTTATGTTTATCAATTTACAAAATGCAAAGTGAGCAAACAGAAGAGAAATCCAAATCAAATCAATATTTGGTGTAACTACCCTTTGGCTTCAAACCAGCATCAATTCTTATACTTATTGTAATTGTTTATGTTTATCAATTTACAAAATGCAAAGTGAGCAAACAGAAGAGAAATCCAAATCAAATCAATATTTGGTGTAACTACCCTTTGGCTTCAAACCAGCATCAATTCTTATACTTCCACAAAGTCAGGGATCTTGTAGGATTAGAGACAGGTGTATGATTAACCAATTATACCAAGCAGGTGCTAATGATCAGCAATTTCATATGTAGGTTGAAACACAGTCATTAACTGAAACAGAAATAACTGTGTAGGAGGCTTAAAACTGGCTGAGGAACAGCCAAACTCTGCTACTAAGGTGAGGTTGGGGAAGACAGTTTCATA